GTCTGGGAGAGGCGACACAGAGGTGGCTGCTCCTGCCATTGCCGGAGGTGACATCCAGCATCAACCCCCGGGGCAGGTGCCACCAGCACTGGCTGTGGCCCGGGGTGACGTGGGGTGCTGAGGACAAGCCGTGGGGAGCCCCTGTCCCCAGCTGTCCCCTCGGTGCCATCCCTACCATTTATCCACAGGGTGTAGGTGGCCACGGCCGTGCCCTGGGGGCTGCTGGCTGTGCAGGTGTAGGTGCCCAGGTGGGTGTCGTTGAAGGAGGGGAGGAACAGGACGTTGTGGGGGCCTTTCTGCAGCGGAACTGGGCTTTCTTCCTTCTCCCACAGGAACTCCTGGGGGCTGCACCGGGCTGGGGTCACTCGGGGGGAGCACACCTGGCATGGGAGGGAGGGAGGGAGGGAGGAGGGAGGGGCGCCTTACCCGGGATCTCCAGTGACTTCGCAGATCAGCATCAGCCGGTGGTACACGGTCGGTGCTGCCGGCTGTGTCCAGATCCGGGCCCTCTTTGTTTCTGCAGCACCCAGAGCTCAGCCGGGGCCGGGGGTCTCCCTGTCTGTGGGACCCCGTGTCCCTGCTGCCCCTGCTGTCCCCCCATTTCGGTCCTTGGGGTGCCTTTGGGCTCTCACTGTGCTGCCACCGTGTCCCCTCCTCCCAGCCTTGCCGAGACCCCTGTTCCCTTCACGGCCACCCCGTGATGAGCTCTGGGTGCCCCTTTTATGGCCCAGCTTCTGTGGGTCCCGCTGCACCCCTTTGTGCCCCCCTTGCAGAGCTCGGGGTGCCCCTTTCACTGCACGGCCGCTGTGGGGTCCCCCCAGCCCGCACCCGTTTGGAGCACTCGGGGTGCCCCACTGTCCCCACAAACCCCCTCCATGTCCCTGCGCCCCCCTCTGCGCCCCCCTTGCCCCACGTCCCTCGGGTGGCTCCCGGTGTCCCCTCGCCACTACCTGCGGGGCCCAAGAGCGCAGCGAGGATGAGGAGGCAGAGCCAGAACCGCCCCATGGCACCGCCGAACCTGGCCACTGTCACCACCGTGGGAAGGGGGGACCTCGGAGCCACCCGGAGCTGCTCAGAGGCTGCTCAGAGGACCCCCAAGGGTGACGGTGACTTTCGTGGTGACAGTGACCTTCGTCCCCAAGCCGCAGGGCTGTTGGGCAATGAGCCCGGGGATGGTGCGTGACCGCGGGGATGGTGCGTGACCGCGGGGACGGCCTTTGGGGACAGTTCCTCTGTCGCCAAGGGAGGGGCTTTCCCATTCCTGCCTCCATGTGGGGCTGGGCAGCGCTGGATCCGTGTCCTGCCCGTGCAGGGGCGGCCGTGGGGCAGCTCGGGGGGCATGGGAGGGGGACTGGTGGCACTCAGGGGGACCCTGTCCCCAGCAGTGGGGGGCTGTAGCGGTGAAGGCGTGCTGGGTGATGGGAGATGGGTGCGAGTGATGGGATTGAGGAGGGAACGGGGGGGCACCGAGGCCACCCCCGCCCCAGACCCCGCAGCCCTCAGGCCCCCAGCGCCTCCCGGAGCCGGGGTTTCACCACCACGTCTCCCTTCACCTCGTAGCTGAGGCTCTTCCAGGCCAGCAGGGCGGGCGGCAGGCGCAGGGACAGGAAAGCTGCGCGCATCTTGTCCGGGGACAGCCCCGTGTCCCACAGGTAGACGTCGGTCAGCTCCCCCGAGAAGGAGTTGTAGGGGTCGAAGCCGCCCCCGAAGCTGTCCTGCTCCTGCCCCAGCAGGATTGCGGCCGTGGCCCCCACGGCGTAGCCCCTCTGCAGCCCCTTCCTCGGCCAGGGCTTCCCGTTGAGCCAGAACTCGGCGATGCCGGTGGAGGATTCCCAGCTGGCGCAGACGTGCTCCCAGTCCCTGCCACCCTCGGGGACGCGGAAGGTGACGAACTTTCCCCCCACGTAGAAGCGGTACTCCTCGGGTTTGGGCTTGAAGAGCAGGATCTCGTTGTCCTGGGCTTTGGTGGCGTAGGAGAAGAGGCTGTGGGGCCGGCTGAGGTCGGTGTAGGAGCGCAGGCACACGGTGAAGTTGTGCAGGGGCTGCTCCAGCCGAGCTCGCAGCACCACGTAGGCGTCGCTGGGATCCTTCCGGAACACGAACACCTTTCGGTAAAGGTCTGGGGACAACAGAGGGGACGCGGTGGGATGCTGGGGTGTCCCACAGCTCTCTCTGACCGTCCCCGAGCCTTCCGCTGTCCCCCCCGGGGTGACTCCCTGCTCCAGCGTCCTCCAGCCCCGCTGACCGAGAGTGATCCCAGAGCTGCTGCCGCGTCCCCCCTGGACCTGCCCTGCTCCGTGCTGGCTCCTGTCCCTCCAGCCCGGTGTCCCCCGTACCCTCCTGGGCCACGATCCCCGCGATCCCGGCCAGGACGAGCAGCCAGAGCTGCAGGTGGCCCATGGTCGGTGCTGGAGCCGGGCGGGAGCGGCGCTGCAGCCGGGTTTATGTACCCGAGGCTGGGAGGGGACTGCCGGGGGGGATGTGTCCCCCGATCCCATCCCCAGCAGCCTGGCGTGCCTGGGAGGGGCGATTTCATGCCCAGGGTGGGTGATTTCATGGCTAGGAGGGGTGATTTCACGCCATCACAAGATCTTGGGTCACCCGCCTGCACGGGGCTCCCCTTGGAGCTGGACCCTGGGCGTGTCCCCCCACCCGGGGGACAGGGACACCCCAGCCATGTCCCCCCACCCGGGGGACAGGGACACCCCAGCCATGTCCCCCCACCCGGGGGACAGGGACACCCCAGCCATGTGCCCCATCCTGGGGACAGGGACACCCCAGCCATGTGCCCACCCGGGTGATGGGGTGGGGACACCCCCAACACTCCTTCCCCAGGGGTCCCTGCTCTGGGCAAGCCCCCGTGGGAGGGACCTGGTTTGATTTGGGATCATCCGAGGGGTGCAGGGAAAGGTGTCCCTGGTCCCCCTGCCCTGACCCAAAGCTCTGGGGCACATCCCGGGCTCTGCTGTCCCTGTCCTGCCTGAGGGGACAGAGATGGTGGCCGAGTGTCCTGGCGTGGTCTGGGGGTCCCAGGGGCACAGGCAGGTGGGAAGGGGGAAGGTTTTGCGTGCCTCAGATGATTGGTGCCGGGCTGAGGGGCCGGAATCCGGGCTGGGGGTGTCGAGTCCCTGCAGGGGTTTGATGGATCCCCAGTTTTGGGGACGATGTGGGTTCGTTCCCCAGCGCTCAGTCCTGCAGTTCGGGTCCTACAGGGACCCCGTGACCGCACGCGCCCGTCCCTCGTGGGCTCTGGGTACAAATGACCCCACTGGCCCCTGCCAGGCTGCACAGCTTCCTGAGGAACTTTTCCTGCCAATTTGGAGGCACGAGGAGCACACGCCCTCCATTTCCCTTCCCGCTGGGCCCCCCCATCATCTCCCAGTCCTGTCCAGTCCATTAACTGGGCTGGACGAGTGCCTCTGGCCGTTGTGTTTTATTGTGTGTAATTCCCACTGGATTCTCTTGGCTCGTCAGGACAGATGGAAAAAATCCCATCACTTCCGAAATCTCCCCCTGGACTCGGGGGGGGGATGGGGTTGAGATTTGGGGATCCCCCAGAAGCCTGAGGTGACCCCCCCCGGGCAGCCTGAGGCACCCTCAGGTCTTTCTGCACTGGGCATTTGGGGGGGGTCTGGCCCCAAAGAGGGGGCTGGGACCCCAAGGGAGGGGACAGAGGGTGGAGGGCAAACACAGAACGGGGGGTCCTGGGGGAGTGTTGGGTGTGGGACAGAGGATAGGGGGGCCCTGTGGGGCAGGGGGCAGTGCCCAGGGCTCAGTGCCAGGTGGCCAGGGGTCAGTTCTGTGGGTGACCAGCGCGTGCTGGGTGACCCAGGCCAGTGCGGGGCGGGCCAGGGGTCAGTGGTGAGGGCACAGGGACTGGTGCTGGGGCATCTGAGGCTGCTGCAGGGGTCCAGACTTCAGTGCTGGGGAGCCAAAGCTCAATGCTGGGGGGCCAAGGTTGGTGCCCAGGGGTTGCCCAGAGGCCAGGGGCCAGTTCCAGGGAGCCAGGTCAGGTGCCAGGAGGCCGGGGCTCAGTGCCAGGGGTCCCAGTCTGGTGCCGGGGGTCCGTTTGGCTCTGCAGCACAGCCCCTGGAGCTCCGCAGCCCCCGGAGCTCCGCAGCCCCCGGAGCTCCGCAGCCACCCGAGCTCCGCAGCCCCCGGAGCTCCGCAGCCCCCGGGTCTCAGCAGCCCCCGGAGCTCCGCAGCCACCCGAGCTCCGCAGCCCCCGGAGCTCCGCAGCCCCCGGAGCTCCGCAGCCACCCGAGCTCCGCAGTCCCCGGGTCTCAGCAGCCCCCGGAGTTCCACAGCCCCCGGAGCTCTGCTGTCCTCAGCAACTCCGCAGTCCTCAGCAGCCCCCGGGTCTCAGCAGTCCCCGGGGCTCCACAGCCCCCCGAGCTCTGCAGCCCCCAGAGCTCAGCAGCCCCTGGAGCTCCGCAGCCCCCGGGTCTCAGCAGCCCCCAGAGCTCAGCAGCCCCCGGGTCTCAGCAGCCCCCAGCAGCCCCCAGAGCTCAGCAGCCCCCGGAGCTCCGCAGCCCCCGGGTCTCAGCAGCCCCCAGCAGCGCCCTCAGCGCGGCCGCAGCCCCAGGCCAGCAGCAGCGCCAGGGGCCCGAGGCCGCAGTGCAGCACCCCCAGCCCCTCGCTCAGCCCCAGCGCCAGGTCGAAGTGCTCGAAGGAGCCGCAGGTGGGCTCCAGCAGCCCGGCCTGCAGCAGGAACTCCCCGGCCAGCCCCGCCGCGTACGGAGCCCAGAGCCCCAGGAAGAGCCAGGTGAGGCCGGCTCCGGCCGCCCAGCTCGCCCTGAGGCTCGGCACGGCCAGCGCGGCCAGCAGCAGCCCCGCGGGCAGCAGCAGCAGCAGGCACAGGCACAGGGCCAGGTGGAGCAGGTACACCGGGGCCAGGACGGCCACGTTCCGCCGGACACAGCCGCTCCCCGCGGCCGCTCCGCTGACCAGAGCCGCCGGCGTGGCCAGCAGCAGCGCCGCCGCCCACAGCCCCGCGGCCAGGCGGCGGCTCCGCGGCTCCCAGCGAGCCCAGGCCGTGCCGCAGGAGCCGCTGGCCACCAGCAGCGCCTGGGCGAACACGCTCCAGTGCCACAGGAGGTGCGTGAGGCGACAAGGAGCCGTCCCCAGGTGCCAGCCCCGGGCGGCGGCCGCGGCCAGCGCCGGCAGCAGCGCTGCGAACAGCGCCGTGGCCACGGCCAGCTGTGCCAGCAGAGCCCGGCTCCGCGGCCACCGCCACGCCTGGGGACGCCGCGCCAGGGCCACCAGCAGGGCCCCGGTGGCCACCGCGGCCACCGCGGAGGTGGCGGCCAGGAAAGGGGGAGCCACGCGCTGGAAGAGGGGACAGAAGCGGTTGTGGCAGGGCGCGGCGTCGTAGTCCAGGAGGCTTTCGTTGCCGTAATTGTCGTAGAAGGAGGAGAAGTTGTCCATGATTTCCTCCAGGTGCAGGGAGCCCGGGGTCTCCGGGATGCCGGGGGTCTGCGGGTGAGGAGGGTGGGCGTCAGGGAGGTGCCACATGGCACAGAGCCCCCTGGTCCCGGCTGCCCCACGGTGCGGGGATCCGGGCTGGGCAGGGTTATCAGGGTGACAGCCGGGATGGGGCCGGGATGGGGCCGTTTTCTCACAGGAGGGACACGGAGGAGCCCTGGGGGAGGCTGCAGACCCCCAGGGAGGACGCAGACCCTGGATGGTGGCTGCAGACCCCACAGAGCCTCCTGTGAGGGAGAACTTGCCCGCAGCAGCTGCTGCGAGCCGCGGTCCTGCTCAGCACCAGGGACCCCAAGGATCCTGCTCAGCAGCAGGGACCCCCGGGATCCTGCTCAGCACCAGGGACCCCAAGGATCCTGCTCAGCACCGGGGACCCCCGGGATCCTGCTCAGCACCGGGGACCCCCGGGATCCTGCTCAGCACCGGGGACCCTCACAGCTCTGCTCAGTGCTGGGGACTCTCCTGTGACCCCACTCAGCACCAGGGATCCCCTAAACCCCACTCAGCACCGGGAATTCCCGTGGTCCTGCCCAGCACCGGGGACCCCTGTGATCAGCACTGGGGACCCTCATATTCCTCCTCACACTGAGGACCCCCAGGTCCCCCCTCCCTCCCTCCGTGGGGCTGTGACACCCCCGGGCAGGGACAGGAATTGGGGGGTCACTCACCACGGGGACACAGTTGCCCATGACGGCTTTTCCCACGATGGCAGTGGCTCCTCTGGGTCTGGGGGCTCCTCTGGGTGCTGGGGGGAGCACCCGGGGCTCGGGGGTGGCCACTCGGACAGGAACCCACACGTGCCTGGAGGTGTCCGGGGGTGATTTCTGCGCTCCAAGGGGAGCCGGGGATTGTGGACAGGAGGGAAGAGCTGCCCCAGGGCCGCCCTCCCGCCTGGCACCCGGCGGAAAACAGGGAATGCCTCTGCCGGGAAAACCGCCGAGCCACCACAATTTCTCGAGCAGGAAACCATCAGTTCTTGGCAGGACAATTTAAACTAATTAGGAATTGTCTTTGCAGGCGCTCCGGGGATGCTCCCGGGGCTGGCTCAGTGGAGCTGCATCCCGGGGATGCCGGTGGGGTGCGGGCCTGGCGCCAGCTCCAGGGAGGGGTTTGGGGTGCAGGAGGGGGGGTGGGCACTGAGGAGACCCCGCGGTGCCTTCCTGTGCCTCCGGAGCTTGGAATTCCCGGATTTTCCTCGGGAGGAAGGAAGAGCTCCTGGGGACCATCCTGTGGCATTGGCCTAGCCCTGGTGGCCTTGAGGCCTTCTGGGAACATCCCTGGAGATGGGGATTAGGGTTGGGAATTAGGGTTGATGGTGGTAATTTGGGAAGGGCTGGGGGTCAGGGCTAAGGGGCAGCTCTGGTGGGGCTAAGGGGCAGATTTGGGGGTGTAAAACGGCTGGGCTGGGGGTCTGGGAGGTGTCAGTTTGGGAGGGGCTGAGGGGCAGATTTGGGGGTGAAAGGGCTGGGGATCTCCAGGGGTTGGGACTGGGGTTACTGCTCTTTTGGGGGAGCTGCTGAGGGACAGGAGCAGGGGCTGGGTGGGAGGTTTGGGGTCTCCATGGTTGGGTGGGGGAGGGCAGCTGCAGTTTGGGGGCTCAGGGGAGGTTTGAGGGGGGCAGAGCTCTGTCTCCCAGGCTCACCCTGTCCCCTGACCCACATTCCAACCCCCCAGCCCCAGAGGCAGAGAGAGGCAGGCAGGTAACGTGTGTAATCCAGATATATTTATAGGATTATTTTCCGAGATTAGCACAGGATATTAGAAAGGTTATAAAGTCACATCGACGGTCGTTGGCTCCCTTTATGTACAGACAAAAACACAGCACAACAACACAGCCCAGCCTCTGCCCCCCGGCCTCTCCAGAGCTCCCCAAAATATGGCTTTCGTGTCTATTGAGAGTTCAGTGCCGGCCGGGAAGCGGCCGCAGCCTCCCAGGGCCCGGCTGCCACCGGGGCTCCCCAGTCCTCCCGGGATCCTCCTCGCCCACTTCGGATTCTCCCGGCCCAACCCCGTGGGTGGACGTGGGGCCACCAACGAGGACCCCCTCAGGACGGGGGTGGTGGCCTTGGGCTCTCCCAGACACGGTGACACGCTCTCGGTGTCACGCCCTCACCCGTGGCACCTCCTGTAGCCACGACACGGTGTCACCAACCCCCGCCAAGGGGACAAGGCCAGGGGTCACACCCCACCCTGTCACCCCCACATCACCTGGACGCCCCCAGGCCAGCCAGAACCTGCTCGTGTGCCCACCTGTGACACGGGGTGTGTGTGTCACCTCCACACGGTGACCCCAAAAGGGCCTTTCCCACCGCGCCCCGCCCCAGACGGGGCCACCAGGGACTCGCTCTCACCCGGTGGCTCCTCCATCGTGACGTGGAGTGTCCCAGTCACAGCTTCCACCTGGAATCCTCCCGAGTCGGGAGGGTCCCTGTCACCCCCGGCCTGTCCCTGTTCACACCGCTGTGACCTGGTGTTCCTGTCACCCCCGGCTGTGACACCAATCTCCTCCGCTGCTCCCACCTCCACCAAACCCTTTGGCTCCTGCTGGCACAAGTGGCCTCAGATGGTACTCTGACCCCTCCCAGCCTCTCTCTGTGACCTCAGCAGGTCCCCAGGTCCCACCAGGTGACACCAGGCCCATCCTCCACGGGTCCCTGCCTGTGCCCGCTGCTCCCCGGGCTGTCCTGCCACACCCCACACCACGTGGCACCTCAAAACCACCAAAACCGAGCTCAAAAACACCAAATCCAGGCTGTTCTCCCTGGCCCCGGCCCTCGGAGCAGCTCTGGAGTAGTGGAACCGAGGAGAAACTGAATTCCAAGAGGGAAAACCCTCCCCGTCCCTGTCAGCTCCCACCTTCCTGCCCCACTTACCCCACTCCCCTCGCAGCTCCTGGTGCTGGGGCTCTGCCTGGGATCCCTCCAGCCCCCAAGGGGATGGAATTGTACTCGAGAACACATCTGGCTGTTTTTATTTGCAGGAATGACTCGGTTGTGGGGACCTCGCTGACAGCCTTGGCACGCCAGGATTCATCCCCCAACCCCAGCTCAGAGCTGCCCTGGGGGCTCCAGGCCCGGGTCCCCCACTCCAAGGGGTGGGAATGGAGGAAAAACACCCCAAGAACGGCTGTACCCAGCAGAGGAAACCTCAAAGGCTCCGTGTCCTGCTGCCTCCCAGTGCCAGCAGCGCTCCTGACACGCGGCTGAGCCACGGGAGCCTGGTGACATCCACGGTGTCCCCAACGTCCATCCCTGGCTCCCACCTGAGCTGGGCCCCCTGTGCTCACCTCACTCCCCACAGGTGACCCAGTGCCAGGTGCTGGCAGGGTTCAGGGGAGGTGACACCTCCAGACCCGTGGAAGAGGTGGTAAAATTCTTCCTGCACCTCCCAGGTGAGGTTTCCCACCCTGAGGACTTTCATTCCTTCCTGAAGGGACCCCTGGTCCTCCAGACCACCCCAAATCCATGGGGTGACCTCCCAGGTGAGGTTCCTCCCCTTCCCAAAGGGCTCCCCTCCTCCAGACCACCCCAAATCCATGGGGTGACCTCCCAGGTGAGGTTTCTCTCCCTCCCAAAGGGCTCCCCTCCTCCAGACCACCCCAAATCCACGGGGGGTGCCCACCCAAGGGCAGCTCCTGCAACATCCCTGGTGTCCAGAGCGGGATGTGGGATCCCAGGAAATCTCATCCCAAGGCTGGGGGTGTCCTGACGATGCCGTGGGGGGCAGCCCCTGCCTGGGGGGGCCAAGCTGGGGCTGTGCTGGAGAGGTTGGAAAAGGTGTTTGGTTTTGTTCTGGAAGTGATGGTGAAAGAGGCAGGAGGAAGGGCAAGGAGGAAGGATGAGCCAACCTCCCCCCAAGCCTCTGTGGGGATCCCTGAACTCCCCAGATCCCAAATCCGGTTGTTTTGGCCGCTGTTGGTTGGGGCTCTCAGAGCCAAGAGGAAAATCAGCCCTTTCCAAGCTCATCCCTGCCCTGGGAAGGGGGGCAGAAAGACCCCAGCCCTGCTCTGGGGGGGTCCCAAGGAAGCAGCCCCAGCCCCAGGGGCGCTGCCTCCTGCACTGAACATCTCAATAGATGGTTAAAATTGGAATTTCCAATCAGAAAATTTAGGAAAAATAAAAAAATCAGGGTCTTTTCCTCTGGATTTGACCCCCCAAAATAAACGTCAGCCCTCCCCCCTCCCACTGGGGTGGGACCAGGGAGCTGTGGGGGCTCCCGGTCTTCTCCGGGGGTCCCACCCTGGACTTTCACCCCCTTTCACACACTGACTGCACGAGGACAGCTCTGCTCCCGCATGGACACTGCTCCACAAGAACCACCAAGGATAAAATCGGGGCAGGGTCTCGCTCCGCTCCCAGCTGGAGCCACCCCCAGCACCGGGGGGGTGACAACGGGGACACCCAAGGTCCCAAACTTGCCCCGGGAGCCCGGAGCTGATTTTATCCTTGGATATCAAAGAAACCAAAACGGAGAGAAACAAAGGGAAGAGCTACATCGACCCCAGCCCAACACCCCAACCAAGGGCCCGAAGCAAAGAGCAGCCACGAAACCAAAGCAAAAAGGTCCAAAGGAAGAAGGAAGAAGTCGCTCACTCACGGGTTGGTCTGTGGGTTCGGGGCGTGGGGATGGAGGTGCAAGCAAGCAAATGGGGCCGGGGCTCTCGCTGTCGGAGTGAACGATTTGTACAAGTTCAAGAAGCGTCGGCAGCGCTTCGAGGCCGGTGGCTCTCCCTGCTCTCTGTCCCGCCATCCCTCTGTCCGTCCGTCCGCCCGTGCCGGGCGCCAGAGAAAATCTGTTGGGTTTTGTGGGGTTTGTGGTCTGGTTGCCGTTGCCATCGGGGTTCTCTTGGCTCCATTTCTCTTTCTCTCTCTCTCTCTCTCTCTCTCTCTCTCTGATCCCTTTAGATGAAATATTCCTTCTTGTCGTCGCCGCCGGCCTGGCCGCCCTCGGCGTTGATGATGGCGGTGTCGGCATCCGGAGCGTCGTCCGAGCCCTTGGCCTCGTGGGTCAGGTACGTGCCTGGAGGGGGGGACAGGGCTGGGGGTCACGGGGGGCTCTGCCAGAGCCCCCTCCCATACTAACAGGGGGAGGTGGGGCTGCCTGGAGGGCTCCACTGGGCTTGGCTGCAATGGAAAAGTCATTTTTATATTGTCACGTCATTCGATGGGATGGGATGGGATCCATGGGATGGGAT